GGGGGTGGGCTGGGAGCGACCGACCGCGGCGCGGGAGTGGGGTGGGTGGGGGGCGGGGGTGGGAGGAGAGGGCGTGGCGGGCTGGCCCCCGGACCACGGCGGAACTGAGACTAGGTGTGAGCTTCCCGTGGGTCCCGGGGACCCACTGCAGCCTGCGGGCCCGTGGCGAGCCGCTTGGGGCGAGCAGGACAACCCCTATCTCCTATCTCCCGCGCCAGGACATCTCCGTGTCCCGCAGGACTTCCCACTCGGCTAAGAGAAAAAGAAAACTCTTATGTTCTGAAGCGCCAGACTTTTGTGACCCTTTTATCTGAACTTCCGTCCCTGGAAAGCAACGCCCGGACCCCGTCATTCGCTCAGAGGAGGCCACGGTTAAGAGCCAGGCACCGTTTAGTTTTCGCGCTCCTTGGACACGGTCAGGGTTTGGGTGCCAGGGAGAGAGCTCGAGATGCGCTCCCCCTCTCCTTTCGTTCTTTCCTCTGATCCAGCCACACCGCCCGCCCCTCCCTCCCCCTGGCCTCCCGCAGCCGCATCCCAAACTCCTAACGTTTAAATCCATTTCTCTGGTGGTTCTTTTTTGTCCTCCATATTCCCACCTTTGTGCCGAACGCGACTCTTCCAGCCCAGATGGAAACCGCAGATTACCACCGCAGCAGAAAAAAGAAGTTACATCTGGGACTGGCAGCATCCCTGGTCCAGCTTTGCATGTGCTGGGAGCTCACTTTGGTGAGAGAGAACTGGCTCTCAAACCAACCTCCAGCGCCCGTGCTGAGCGCCTAGTAGGGAACATCCCCGCCTCACACAGGTGGGCACTCAAGGAAGTGTTTGCGGATGACCCACTACTCTGCCAACTTTCCAGGAATAACACTGGAAAGCATTATAGGGAACCCCGTGCTCCCGGTGCCTAGGGAACTCTTGGTTTTTGTTGTTAACAGCTCTGATTACATGGCTATTCCAAGAACTCTGCTTCTTCTTTTTTTTTTTTAAGTGATAACTGTTCCTTCTTTAGGAAATAATGAAGTCTGAAGCAACAGTTCAAATTATGTGTGTGTGTGTGTGTGTGTGTGTGTGTGTGTGTGTGTGTGTAAGCATATATCCAAAGTTCACTCAGAAAAGAAAAAAAGTGAAAATTAACTTTTAAAGCCATCAGCAAATAACAGATCTCTGCTTTTGGGGACCATTGCAATTAAAGGATGGTTGCTTTAAGCCATCTTAAGTGAACACAATAAAGAATTGTCTGCACAGACCTAGTTTTGGAATGATTCATTTCTGCCAGCAATTATAACTGCTTCCATTTGTGATACGAACATTAGGTAAAAGATTTGGGGCTGATTCAGCTCTCTTACCCTTCTCATTTAGGCAAGAATATTTAGCTGAATATTTGAAACCTACACTGGCATGAAACAGAGCACATTTTCTCTATTGCATATAATTCTTTTCCATTAGGGCTCTCATTTTAAAAAATTAACACCATCTCCCACACCAGTTACTAGATAGGATCCCAAAGAAAAAATAAGAATACTGTATTTAGCAAGATAATTGAACAAGAATGGGGATCTGAAGGTCAAAAAGCTATCAAGGTAGCAAGGGTCTAGATTCAAGCTCTATTATCTTTGGAGCTACTCAATAAATATTGGTGGCATGACACGCACTCATTCAACAAACATACAGAGCAAGTATGTTGTGCTTTGCAGTGTTAGCTACAGAGGATTCAAAGATGAGCACTCATCCTAGTCCTTAAGATTCACAGGTGGAGGTGAGGCAGCACAAAGAGGCTCATGCCACAGTGGGGTCTTGTGGCAGAAACAGGAGAGCACTGAGGAGGGCAATACAATCCAGCTTCACAGGGGAGCTTCACAGGGGTGTCAGTAAGGTTCCCTGCAGAAGGAAACAGGGTCTTATTTCATTCTTTTTAGTAAGAAAATAACACGTGCTCTTTATAGCGTATAAAAGGAAAACAAAATTTATAAATAAGTGAACATGCTTTTTTTTTTTTATGAACATGCTATTTTCAATATTCCCCACCCCCAACCCCATACCAACCCCACTACACAGAGCTGGCTAATGTTACAAGTTTGGTATGAGCCATTCAATTTTTTCTTGTATATATATATTTGCACATACATAAATCCCCTTTAAAAATAAAATTAAAGTACAATACACATTTGCGTATAATTTGCTATTTTTTAAAAGCAGAGTGTGGTAACCAGCCTCCAAGATAATCCCCAAAGATCTGCTTCCTGTTATTCACATCCTTGGTTAAACCCTTGCACATTGTACCAGGTTTGGTCTGTGTAACCAACAGAATACAGCAAAACTGATGGTGTCACTCCTGAGATTAGGTTATAAAGAACTGAGGCATCCATCTTGGACTTTTTTTTTTTCTTGTATCACTCATTCTGGGAGAAGCCAGATGCCATGTTGCAGGAACACTCAGCCAATGGGAGGGCCCCACAGGGTAAGTTTTTTTTTTTAAGAGGCATTTCATTTTAATATATTTTATTGATTTTTTACAGAGAGGAAGGGAGAGGGATAGAGAGTTAGGAACATCGATGTTTCTAAACATTGATCAGCTGCCTCCTGCACACTCCCTACTGGGTATGTGCCTGCAACCAAGGTACATGCCCTTGACAGGAATCAACCCTGGAACCCTTGAGTCTGCAGGCCAACGCTCTATCCACTGAGCCAAACCGGTTAGGGCCAGGGTAAGTTTTTGAGGCCTGCTGATGACCATGTGAGTGACTCTGGAAGCTGATCCTTTAGCCCCAGTTGAACTTCAGATGTCTGTAGACCCAGGTGACAGCTTATCTGCAATGTCATGAGAAAACCTTAGCCAGAACAACTCAGCTAAGCCACTACTAGATTCCCGATCAATAGAAACTGTAAGATAAAGAAATGTTTAAGGGGCTAAATTTTGGAATGATTTGTTACACAGAAATAGGTAACTATATACATATCAATAGAAATGTATTGATATGTATACATACCAGGCCGCCACATTGCCTTGCAAACAAGTATATAACAGTGCTTTTACTTTAACCACTATTGAATATTATCAATATTTTACATTTGCCAAACTGATAAAATGGGATTTTAATTTGCATTTCTTTGTCAGCAGTAAGAAAAAGTCTGAATATCTTTTTGAAGTGTATTAGACATTATCATTTCTACATCTGTGAATCGTTTGATAAAAGTGGACAAACTTCTTAGTGACTGTGAAGAGCGCTTTATCAATTCTACATGACCATTAGATATGCTGCAACTATATCCTTCCAATATGTCTTCTGTCTTTAAGCTTTGCTAATGATGTATTGAATATTTTAATTTTTGTATGTTGTCAATCTTTTTCTTTAGTCATTTCACATGACTTTCAAATAATGGCTAAGAATTTGCCAAGCCAAGAACAAGACAATCCAAGCACATGGACTGCCTTGAGCAAAGAGAGAAATGAAAACCTGCATATTTACACGAGGAGTTTGTGAGCATGCTGGAGGTGCTGAAGCACAAAGTGTGTGACAATGTGGAGAGAAGCAATGCTGCAGAGAGGGGCAGGGGCTGGCCCTGAAGGACCTTAACTGTCTGCTTAGTGAGCTTGAACTTTTTCTTGTAGGCAATCCGGTAAGCAGAGAACAGTTTGACACTGAAATCTGGGCAATCAGATTGCAGTTTAGATCAGTCTCTGTTGAAGAGGACAGCTCTGAGGGGACAGACTGAGAAACAGATGCATCACTTAGGAAACTGCTTCGATCGCCTAGAGAAGAGCTAATGATGGCCTGAACCAGGGCAGTGGTGGTTGAATGGTGGGCAAGAGACAGAATGGAGAAGTATTTAGGGGGCTAAAGGGACAGGACTTAGTGACCTATTTGATGTGTCTGGAAGTGGAGAAGTGGGA